CTTCTAATATAGAGCCACACACACATACAAAATTAAAATTAATTAAGTAATCATTATTATTATCATTATGATATTATCAACCTTCGAACCTAAAATAATAATAATAATAATTTATCATACAAAAAAAAATTTTTTTCTTCTTCTAAACGCATTCGTCGTAAAATTTGTTTATTTTCACTTAAAAAAAAAAAAAGTAGTTGGAAAGTTTTTTATTTTCTCGAATTTTTTTTTTTTTTTTTACGAAATAAATTATTATTATTATTATTATTATTATTATTATTATTATTATTATTATTATTATTATTATTTACATATATATATTTATTATAATTAATTATCGATTCGAATGATAAATAATAATAATAATAAAATTTTTGATATTTATTTGTTTTTTTTCCTCGATTTTGTATTTTTTTTGGACACTCGTAAGCTAGGCACGAATTTAAGGTATAAGTTCATCACCCGTTTAAATTTAATTTATTATTATTATCATTTACATATAAGAAAAAAAAACTTTAACATTACGTACTCATTAAATAATAATAATGATAATAATAATAAACGCCCAAAAAAAATTGTTTTGCGTTAAGAAAAAAAAAAAAATCGTGTGAAATTTTCACGTGATTATTAATAATAATAATAAAATTACTTTAAAATTTTGTTTATTAATTTTTTTTAAAAACAAACTAATATTATTATTATTATTATCATTATTACTATTAATAAATAATTTAAAAGCCTGGAACGTGTTTATTCGTTAATGATAATAATAATAAAAAATCGGGGCTTTCACTACATGTACCATCATTTATGTTTTTTGTTTTTGTTTTTCGGATGTATTTCGTGTTTTCTATACGAGTAATAATAATAATAATAATAATAATTTTTTTTTTCTTACGGTAATTTAATTACGTAATAAATTTTCGTATTGTTTTAACAAAATAAAAAATAGAAAATTAGAAAAATGATGATTATTTAATTACAACGACAAAAGGGGAAGTTTAGAAAGGAAAATTTTTTTTTTTACTTATTTAATTATCATTATCGTTAATTTTTTTTTTTTTTATGTTTTACGATATACTGTTACGTTCGTTTATTGTATTGTTATTTATTTATTTATTAATATTTTTTTTTTTTATGTAACTGACGTCATTAAAATTTAAAAAAAAAAAAAAAAAGAAAATTACTGTTTGTTATTATTAAATTTGAACTCATAGTTCGTTGCGTTCACGTCAAATTTTTTTTTATTAAATAATTTATTACAAAATTATTACGATTGTAATTTTTTTGTTTAATATTTCCAAATATTTACATAAAAACTTTTTCATAAGAGTGATAATAAATAAATAAATAATTAAAATGATTTCACGGATATTAATAAGACCCCTCGCTCCCTCCCCCCCCCCAAAAAAAAGTAAAAGTTATTTGTTTTAAACGGGAAATTTGTTTGCAATGTTTTACGTGTTTTTCTTAAATTAATATTTGTTTATAAATTTGACATTTGAACGTTAATTTAAAATAATAATAATAATAAAAGTGAGATTTTTTTTGTTACATATTCGATTATTTTCAAAAAAAAAAAATCCCCGGGAAAACGTGATAGAAAGTTTTGCGGTTGTTTGTTTGTTTGTTATTCCCCACGACACCCTTCGGCTATCTCTCATACCCAGTTTTAAAAAGTATTTACACAATGTAATTATTATTATTATTTTTCTTCCGTTTTAATTTTAGGAAGCTACCGCACGAATATAGTTGTTACGTCATTTATTGCGTTTAATAATAATAATAATAATAATGTTAATCTATTTTGACGTAGTGGCGGCACTAAAACGTATATTTAAAATTCGCACACAAGCATTAAGATAATTAACTTCCTTTGGTCACGGAAGACAAATTTTATAAAAAAAAAAAAAAAATTCACTTTCTCGTATCCACATAAAAGAATATATAATCAATCAGTGCCGCATATATATACATTTAATTATTTATTATTATCATTATCATTACAAAAAGAGAACATGGAGAGAAATTAAAAAAAAAAAAAAAATCAAATATACGATAACAAATCAAACAAACAAATTGTTAATAATGATAATAACAACAACCTGTTGTTGTGACGTTGTTTCCTTCCATTGAATTGTCCCCATTTTTTTCCAGATGGGGAAGATGGCCCCCATTTTCTATGTGCTAACATTTTATCGAAAAAACTATTATTTTTTAATTATGTTTAAACATAATTTCCGAAACAACAACAACAACAACAAAATCTTTTCCAGTTATCGGGGTTGAGTTTTTTTGTTTTTTCTTGTCGCTTTTAAAAAAATCACAAAACAACTCATGGAATTTTCATTTTTTTAAATTCTGGAATTTTTGAAAAAACTAATTACGTTTTTTAATTTTTTTTCCAGAAATTCCAGAAAAAAATACACTGATTTAAAACTAATTTTAAAAAAAAATTTTTAAAAGAGTAAAACATAACAAAAATGCGCTACAAACGAATAATAATTTTGAGTTTGTCCTATCGTAACTTTATTGTTTTATGTTTGTTTGTTTAAAACAAACCGAAAAAAACAGTCAAAGTTTATTAAATTTTCTGGAAAAAAAAACCTTTTTTTTTTTAATTTTTTTTTTATTATATTACGTAACAAATTAAAAAAAAAAAAAAACTCTGATAGATTTTTCTAGAAACAAACAGACAAACAAACAAACGACACAAACACAAAAGTAATACGAAGTACCGTTTCGATTATGTTTATTTAATTAAAAAAATGACAAAAAAAAAAAAACCGCACTGTTATTTCTCTTCAAAGGAGAGACACTCAGAAACTGAACAACCTGTGTGATGATGTTCAGTACCGTAACCATCATCATATCTTTCTCTCTCTCTCTCTCTCTCTCTCTCTCAAGTCCCTTTCACTAAATATTAAAGACCGACTTTCTTTATTTATATTCGTTTATTACGATTTCATTTTATATTTCTTACACACACTCACACACACACACTTGGTACCGTTGCTACATAAAATTGTTTTTTTTTTAGGTTCCTAAAGGATTTTTATGTAAAAACTTTTGTTTTAAAATAACTTATTAGGTGATTATAAAATTAAATATTACCCAAATTAATAAGAGTAATAAAAAAAAATTATATCAAGGGTATTTCGATTACGGTAATTATAAACAAAAAAAGGTTTTCAAATCGATTTTTCTCTTTTTTGTTATTGGTTCAAATCAAATGACGAAAGAATAATCGAAAAACTATTATTATTATTATTACTAAGGTTTTCATTTATTTCTTATCGTGGACAAGGTGATAAAAAAACAAAAAAAAAATTTAAACAAGGACGTTCAACCTTAATAACACCTACAAATTTTTTTTTTTTTTTTTTTTTTTAGATTATCAAAGTATTAATTACAAAAATTTTTAAATTGTCAGTTTTAATAATAAAAAAAAAAAAAAAAAAATTGTAGGAAAAATAAAATTTTTTTCGTTACAATAAAAATTATTAATAATCGTGCCCCCCACTCCTCCCCCTGCCCCCTTTTTTTCAATATTAATTTCGTCGTAGTGCCATTGTACCGTACACTTAACCCCATGCCTCCCCTTAATTTAAACATAAATTATTAATAACAATTCACGTTTTAATTTAAATTTTGTTTTAATTAATTATTTTCGCGCGTTTTTTTTTTTTTTAAAGCACAATTTAATGAATATTAATAATAATAATGATAATAATAATAATAAGAAGAATTATCGTGACGTAGATTCTTTGATGCATGTATACTTTAACTTTCTCATAACTTAATTCTTATGTTATTATTATTATTATTATTAAAAGTAAAAAATTTTTTTTTTATACGATAATGGCTGCTTTCTTTTTTTCATTTTCATAACCGCAAAAACTTTGTCGTAAAAAAAAAAAAAACAAATCGCGGTGAAATATTTAATTAAACCGAAAAAAAATTTAATTCCGCCATTTTTTTTTCTTTTAAATTTTACTAAATAAAATAGTAATAATAATAATAATAATAATAATAATAATAATAATAATAATAACAA